TCTTGCTTCATCCTCATTCTTGGGTTTGAGTGACTCACATGTGCTCCAGATAAATCACTGCAAGAAAAGCTTGGGTGTGACGTCCTAAAACCCATGAGTTAAAGCTGCCCCTGAGCCAGCCCTTGGTCCTCATGGCTTCCCCTTGGGGTGGGACCCCAAAAATTTGGGCTGAAAATCAGCAGAAATTGTATTATTGGGATGATCAGTTTCACTGTTTGGGGGTTTGAAGCTGCTTCTTCAGCTTGATGCTTTTGAGCCTTCACGTTTTGGGAACTGTAAAGGCTGGGAAGTTTGTTAAAAGGTCATAGAACCATGGAATGGGTTGGGTTGGAAGGGACCTAGAAGATCATCTAGGTCCAACCCCCCTGCATGGGCAGGGCCACCTCCCACTAGACCAGGTTGCACAAAGCACTGGCCATCCAGGCCTTCTCCAGTGGTGCAGGGGACCATGAAGGTGCTTCTCCATCCCACACTGAAGGGCAATGGGTATTGACTGTGTCTGCACCATGAAGCCATTGCTGGGAGATCAACAAAAAGGCCCCAAACTTCTTGACAGGCTGGAGAAAATCAGGGATGAGAGCTGCTCTCATTTCTGCCAGGTGGATTCCAAGGTAACTTGTCCAGGGTTTGCAATGAATTCATCAGCTGAGATGAATGTGTCCTCAAAGACACCTGATGTTGGCAGAAGAAGGGCCCTGCAAAAGCCAGGCTGGGGAGCAAGGAGCAGATGAATTGCAAGAGAAAACCAAACATCTACTTTGTCAGGGGGACTGGGGGTGGTTTCAGGGAAACAACTTCTCCTGGTGTCTGTGGAGGAAGGTGAGAAGCCTTTGAGGAAGGTTTCAAGGACATGGGGTGACACCTCTTGGTTTGGTGGCTCCAGGAACTGCTGGATGAAGCAGAAAAAACATGATCTGTGGGATGGGACATTGAATTACTTCAGAGATTTAGTCATTAGTTGCTTAATCTTGCAACTTCTTCTGGGCTTCAACAGGAGAGGTCTAGGAGAAGCTACCCACCAAGTCCATGGAGATACAACCAAAAAGATCAGCTATGAAATCCAACATGTTATCAGGGTTTTTGCCTCCTGAAGGGGTGGGATCAGCAAGAGTTGAATTCCAGAGACATTAGGTGGAGGAAGAGATTCACAGAGGAGGTTTCACTTGGTAGAAGGGACTCCAGGAGCACTGGTCTCTTGTAGGCCATCTTCTACTTGGTCTGAATCTTTTGTTAGACCTTGAAGGGGTAAATCAGAGGTTTCAGGCTGGCCTGTTGCAGTGGTGGGGCAGTGCTGCAAGGGTCTGCAGTGCCTGTGGGCACAGCATAAGGAGCTGCATGGCCCAATGTGGATGGGTCAGAGGGAGGTCTGAAGACCTTCTCAGTGGTTTCTGAGGTCCAGAGGTTCACCTTGACCATAAGGAGCCACCCTGGGACCTACTAGGATGCTCAAATCTGTATCCACAGCAAATTTTCACCTGTGACTGTTGAGGCCTCCAGGTCTTTCTGTCTCTAAGGAGCAAGGATGTGGGATGAGCACTGGTGTTACTGGACCATCTGGAACAGGGGAGACAGCAGCAAGATAAAGTAAAACCCTTCCCAATGTGCTGTTGGGTTTGAGGGAACTCCAGCAGCCCCCTCCATCTCACCTCACCCTAGGATGTGAAGACTTGTCTCTTGGGGCAACCAGCTCTTCCATGGACTTCTAGGGGAGTTTAGATGCTGGAGGTATCTACTGTGGATCCCACGTGTGGAGAGCTGGATCTGGAGCTTGAAACATGTCTGTGACATTCGACAATTTCTGTCCCCAGTACCCCCTCTTCTTTGTACCCATGGGAGGAGATGGCAGAAGAGGGCTCAGAGTAGAAATCAATTTATTTACTGTAAAGAAATCTGAGGTTTCTGAATGTTACAAAAATAAACATGTCGAGTCATCACAAAACTCACTCTTCTCTTTAGTATAAGTTAGTGCTTTTACAAACAAACAGACAGACAAAACATTTCTATTGATACATTCCCAGTTGGTGCCTCCCCAGCCTCTCTCCAGCTCAACAGGGACAATGGCTTGTGTGGGACCTGGACCATGGAGGGACCTTCTGGATGGGCCTGGCAGTGTTGCCCAAGGCAGGGGTTTGAAGGCAGCTGGGAGAAAGGTGGGATCACTGAGCAGGAGGGAACACTGAGCAGGTTTTTTGTTGAATTATTCAGAGCACGTAGCTTGGTGTTCACGTTGCTTTTTTGGCAAGTGCAGGAGAGCAGGCAAGACCTGGCCTGGAGTAACATTTGTCCCAGTTCAGTGCTTTGGTTGAATTCATTTCTCCCACTTAGCTGTCTCGCCCTGGTGACTGTGCTGGGACCTCCCCACCAAGCCCAGCTCCCTCCACAGGCAGCAGGAAAAAGAAGGGGCTGCCCTGATGCAAGTCCTGTCTTAACCCAACCCCACCCTACAAGTTGATGAGATGAACCACCCCACAAACATCCTCTTTTTCTTTGCTGATGGTGCTCAGAGCTGAGACAGCCCCATCCTTTGTCTCCTGTGGGGGTGACATCACTGGCTGGGACAAAAACTCTCCGTGGGGCTACGGTTCCACCAAACTGGGACCACAGGAACCTCCCAGTTGACCCTGAAAGGTCCTGGTTCCCTCAGCTGAACGTGGCTTGTTGCATCCTGGCGTGTCTTTATCTCCACCAAGCCACTTCATAAGGGGGGATGGAAGGAACTAAGAAGAGGTCTGAGGAATTGGTCTAAGCCAAGATGAAACGTGTTTCCCTCATCCCAGAATAGAGCCAGGGCTGCTTTTACAACATGGGACTTCCCCAGAGCTGCAACACAAGCCATTGTCATTTTTGGGGGTGAGGAATCAGCATCCTTGTGGCAAAGCTGGACAAGGAAACCATGGACCTGGGCTCTTGGCTCTCTAACCCAACAATTACCCAGAGAAAGACCAAGCTGACCTCCTGGTGAAGTGTTTTGTGGATGTTTTCTCCAGTTGTTCTTTGAACTGTCCTGGCTGATGAGGGGTGCAAGTCCAGCCAAGCCTGAGGTTAAGTTTAGCTCCATGTTTATCCCTAAACCCAGGGCTGCCAGAGTTCCCAGGGAAGGTCCACACTGTCAGGAAGAGATATGCTGACCAGCTTCAGTGCAACACTGGGATTACTGGGATTATGAAGAGACCAAACAGCAACAGCTGGGCAGCATCTTCCCCAACACTAGACACTTTCAAGACTCACCTGGACAAGACCATCTCATCCTAACAGTATTGCTACCTAGAAAGGTTGGATCAGATGATCCTTGAGGTCTCTTTCCGCCTGGCATTCTATGATTTCAGGTGACAACAAGCTGGTGAAGGTCCCAGAGGGCTGTCACCTCTGAGCAGAAACAAAGATGTGGCAGCACTCAGCCAAGGGGATGAGGAATGGTCTTCACTCCTGTGCTGCAGAAACGAGTCACTAGCAAGGGGGTTAGAAAGGAGACATGAAGAGCTCACCCAAATCTTACATGAGCTGGGGATGATGATTGAAGGCAGCAGCTGAAAGAAAGCTACGGGTTCCTAAGAGCTTTTGAAGGGTGAATGTTGCTGTTGGGAGGCACCAACAGGTCTTTTGGAAGATGCTGACAACACTGGAGGTGCCTATAAGAGAGCAGTAAATTCCAGTGGGATGGGAGGCTCACCAGCACCCTTTCTAAGGGGAAGCCAGCCCTTGGACAGGAGCTGGGAGTCTTCTCCTGGCTTTGCCAGCAGAGGCCATGGCTTGAAGCTGGGAGAGCATTTCTTCAGGGATACAGAATCACAGAATGTCAGGGGTTGGAAGAGACCTCCAAAGATCATCAAGTTGAACCCCCTGCCAGAGCAGGACCAAAAAAACCCAACCAACTAGGGCAGATCCCTCAGAAAGGCATCCAGACAGGTCTGGAAAGTCTCCAGAGAAAGAGACTCCACAGCCTCTCTGGGCAGCCTGTCCCAGGGCTCTGTCACCCTCACAGCAAAGAAGTTTTTTCTCATGTTGAGGTGGAACTTCCTGTGCTCCAGTTTGTGCCCATTGCCCCTTGTCCTGTCACAGGGCACAAGTGACAAGAGCTTGTCCCTGCCTTCTTGATGCCCTCATGTATTTATAGACATTAATTAGATCCCCCCTCAGTCTTCTCCTCTCCAGACTAACCAGCCCCAGGTCTCTCAGCCTTTCCTCATTAGGCAGATGTTCCAGTCCCTTCATCATCCTTGTAGCTTCTCTTGGACTCTCTCCAGCAGATCCCTGTCCCTCTGGAACTGGGGAGCCCAGAACTGGACACAACACTCCAAGTGAGGTCTCACCAGGGCTGAGTAGAGGGGGAGGAGAACCTCCCTTGACCTGCTGGACACACTGTTCTTAATGCAACCCAAGATACCCTTGGCCTTCTTGGCCACAAGGGCACATTGTTGTCCCATGGAGAACTTCTTGTCTACCAGGACTCCAAGGTCCTTCTCCACGGAACTGTGGGAGATCCTTTCCTGCTGTGGGTGGTATTTGCACTTGACATTTTCTTTGACCTGTTCAGCAGAACCACAGCTGACTCTCCTCACTGACCCAAAGCCTCTCCTCCCCTGCCAAGGCACAGAGAACCTCCTGCTACCCCCGTGCCAGGGAATCTGGAGAAGGGCAGATGGATCTATTTTGGGAGACCTTTTGCACACAACGCTCCTGCTTTAGGAAATGACCTAAGACGTTCAGGGGGTGTTTTATTTATTAATTATATTGTTTTTTTAGCAGATTTGGCCACCACGATAGAGGTCACCCAGCCTCCCTGGTGGAGAGATGCCACTCAGGGTTGAGTGGAGAAGAAGGCTTGGATGAAGAGGCAAGAGCTACGGGGTTTGTGTGTCTCACCACAACAGCATCTTCCTGAAAAATGTCTATTTGAACACGTGCAAGTCAAGGAACCACAACCACCAAAAGCCTCAGGGCCTGGAGCATCCTGAGCTCCCCCCACACCTGGGATGAACCCTTTCTGTCACGGAGCAGAGCTAGGATTTCACATCCTTGGATAAGGTGTCGCTATCGTTGCTGGTTCCCAGGTGGTTGTTGGGCACGATGCCCAGAGCCACCTCGTTTTGAGGCTTCCAGGGCACTTTGTTGCCTGCAAACCTCATGAATCGTTGTCCTGCTAAGAAATACAAAATGGGATCCAAGCAGCTGTTGGTGCTGGCCAGGGGACGAGTCACCTTGTAGGCTAAATTGATGGCATTGAGGGTCTGACAGCTGAGGTCCCAGCTCCGGAAGGAGTAGTACAAGGTGCGAGTGACGTGGAAAGGAAGGAAACAAACGATGAAGACCACCAGGACAATGATGATCATCTTCACCGACTTCTTTTTGGATCGGGACAGGCGGGAGATGCCCCTGGTGGGCTGCAGCAACCTCCGGGCCATCAGGCAGTAGCAGATGATGATGATGAGGAAAGGGATGCAGAAGAGCAGCACCAGCATCACCGAACTGTAAATGACGAACTGGCCGAAGAGGTCCTTGCTGGAGGTGTCGTGGCAGGTGACGGCGTCGCGCTTGACGCTGGTGGTGACGAAGAAGAGCACGGGTGACTGGCAGGCAACAGTCACCACCCACACGATCACCGAGACCCTCCGGGCGTAGCGAACGTGTCCCCACTGCAGGGACTTGAGGGGGAAGCAGATCCCCAGGAATCTGTGGATGCTGATGCAGAGGAGGAAGAGGATGCTGCAGTAGAGGTTGGTGTAGAACAAGAAGCGGACGATCTTGCACAAGCCCGCGCTGAAGGGCCAGTTGTCCCCCATGGCATAATAATACACCAGGAGGGGCAGGGAGACCACGTAGAGCGTGTCGGACACAGCCAGGTTGAACATGTAGGTGGTGGAGGCGTTCCAGGTCTTGATCCTGAAGATGAAGGCATAGAGGGCCAGAAGGTTGAGGAAGAGCCCCACCACGCACACGATGCCGTAGGAGACGGGCAGAAGAACGTACTTGAAGTCCTCATCAAATATGCACTTGTAGGCATTGTTTCCTGCATGATCCAGGTCCAAGGAGCTGTTGATGACTCTGGTCCAGGCTGGAGGAGTTGTTAGGTTTGCCATCACCCTGAGGGGAAAGCAAAGAGGCTGTAAGGACACAGAGGACAACAGATCGGGGGGAGGGTCTGGAGCACAAGTCTTATCCTGGCCCTTCAGCATGTAGAGAAGATGAATTGAGTTTTGGGCCCCTCAGGACACAGAGGAGCTGGAGCGTGTCCAGGGAAGGGCAAGGGAGCTGGGGAAGGGGCTGGAGCAGAAGGAGAAGGGACTGGAGAACTTGTGAGGAGCAGCTGAGGGAGCTGGGGGTGTCCAGCCTGGAGCAAAGGAGGCTGAGGGGAGACCTGCTGGCTCTGCAGCTGCTGAGAGGAGGTTGGAGCCAGGGGGGTTGGGCTCTGCTCCCCAGGAACAAGCGACAGGACAAGAGGGAACGGCCTCAAGTTGTGCCAGGGGAGGTTGAGGTTGGATCTGGGGAACATTTGATTCCCTGAAAGAGATTTTCAGGCCCTGGAACTGATTGCTCAGGGCAGTGGTGGGGTCACCATCCCCTACCAGCCATGTAGATGTGGTGCTGAAGGACATGGGTTAGTGGTGACCTTGGCACTGCTGAGTTAACAATTGGACTTGATCTTCAATGTCTTGTCCAAACAAAACAATCCCATGATTCCATTACATGAGACAGAGGTAGGGAGTCCCTGAAAGAGGTGGGTTAGAGAAGAGAAGCCCAGTGCAACCACACTGTGACACACTGCATGCAGCAATCATTACTCTATACTCTTCCTACACCCTTCCCTTCTCCTCCTGCCATTGTTGCCTTCTACACTTGGTTGTGTCTACCCAAAAGCCACCAGCAAGCATAGCTCACTGTCTGGCAGGCAGTGCCACCTCACTGCAGGTGACAATGACTGGAGGGGGGGTGGTGGATGCCTCCTGCCAACACATTGTGTACCCATGGCCTTGTTGAGTTGGGTGTTGACACAACCGAGGTAGTTCCTAGCATGGAGGACTTATGGTTCAG